CGACCCACATGCTTCATTTATCTGGGGAAGAGAAGAATCGCTTCCAGGACCTTGTTCAGGCCCATCCAACTGTCGGTCCTCTAGGTCTCATCGTGGGCGTTCCAGGGATTAATGGTCCCGGGAAATCCGTGACCGAAATATCTGACATATTCTGGAATGCAGACCGTGTTAGCAAAGAGCGTTCGAAGATTAAACAAGGAGCTGATGTAGGTGGAGATGGCTTTATTGCTGCCTTCAAGAAGCTCGAGGAAGACCATCCCGAGTTCGTTGTCTCTTCAACATTTGGGATTGTCACGGTTGTTTCCCTTCAAACACCGTTCATGCGCTCGCTTCTGGTGAGGGATACGACTCTGGAGGAGCCAGTTAATGGGACTGTCAACGATGCCACTCATGGGTGGTGGTCAGAGCGCAACGCCCTACTCATTGTGACGTCTGTCTATGATGTCAAAACGCAATCATGGTCGCCTTCCCTGTTCTCATATTCAAACGGGGCACGAACTCTCCACTTCAAGTATCATTTCGTCGCCTTATTCCAAGGGATCGCAGAGGAAGCCGATTCACGTGGAATTGACATTGAAGATCGCTTATTTGCTGGGGTATAGTGCTCTCAATCCGTGTTCATGTTATTTGGTGACTTAGTTGTTCTCATTTCAGGTGATGGATTTCAGCGAAGCTGAGCATGGGGCTTTCATCGAAGCATTCGTCGAGTTCTTTTCTGGGCGGCTTGATGACACACGCACCGTTGAGGAGCTCCATCTTGCAGCTGAACACCTTACGCGTGGCTGTCAGGAGCACTATCGTGCCAGTGTTACACGCGTCAGCCGGATTGGTGGTGCGGTTCCCCCAGAAAAGGTCGACGCGTTCAAGGACCGCGCGCTCGGGCTCCTCAACGCACCTGATTCAGACGCATTTCTGGAGCGCGCTTCCCTTCTCATCCGTGACTTTCCAAGCCTTAAATCCTGGATGGCATGGTGGATGCGCCCATCTAACGCGTCGAGGCTATTTGAGTCTGAGCGTGTGATG